ATCTGGGAAGACAATACCTGTAATTATTGTACCATGCGTTCTATGCAAAATATAGTTACACCCTTGCTTCACATGCGCTGCTAGTCTATGCCCTGCACTGAAATGTAAGTATAACCAGCGCTTTATTCATTGCGCTGAAACACTAGCTGAAAATACTAAGGGTAGTGGGAGACTAGCTATGTTATTGAAGAAAATAAACAGAGACGAAAAGTATTAGGGTTGGGTTAGGTAACCGTGTAACCGTGTAACCGGGTGCTTATTTAGATAGCACAATTTTGAATGGCTCCCTAAACTGTATCTATAAAACGCTCCGAGCCAATTATGTTTTTGCGAATTCGGCTCATCTCAATACCCCAGAGTTCTTTGGGGCTATTTAGAAAGTGAGAGCCAAGGTACTCGCTAACGCTGGCCACCTAAGAAGGTAGTGTTGAGGTGATTCTACCTCGCCCTCTTCCTGGCAATTGCGACATAAGGAGTCCGGTAGAATGTTAAGCCTGATCCACACTCGGCCAAAAGGACCATGCGATCGCGCAATTCGTGGGCTAAACAGTTCTCGCTGAGCTGACATGAGGCCCCATCTATCCAAGAGTGTACCACAAGCGATCAATGGCTCCCCCAGCCGCTCTTTATTTGGTGATAATGTTTCACGAGTACGTTCCCTAGCCAGTTCGTCAGCCGCACAGTTCCCCTCAATATCGCTGTGACCCAGAATCCAGAAAACATTCCTTAACCAAGTTAGAGCGCTCCTCCAACGAACTTAAAGCCCTGACAGCCGCTGGGCTATCGGAATATACGCTCACTTCCCTGACAGTTATAACGCTGCTTAGCAGTGAATCTACCGCCTCCCTGGTAGCAGCTACTTCTGCCTGGAGTACACTGCCGAAGTCCGGGAGCCTGAACTTAAAGCTTCACCGCACACCTCCTCCAGAAGTGCCGCCCGGCCCACTCCACCCTTGAGGGAAAGTGGACAGAGAAAAAGCTCCTAGGAGCCATTTCGATGGCGCAGTAATCCGTACGATCAGAGATGAGATCGAAGCCCCCTAGAACTCTAGAGTGTCCAGTCCCTAAGTTGGTCAACCAATCAGTTTCCCTGAGTCGAATAGCCGTTCGCGCCGCGACAATTCTGCCTGCAACGTCGACAGGCACTACGTTCAGCATTACGTTCAGTGTTAATGTTCATCCATCTCATTTTGTTTATATACTCTTCACACTTGTTTGTGAAATTCTATCAGGTGAAGTAATACGGAGACATTTTTAAAACTATCGTATTTAAATTTATGGCTCATAATTTTTGTTTTTGCAAAAAAATTTTTTTTCTTAAAAGAGATTAACTTTCCCGTAATTTTTTCCAATGAGTTGTCTGTATTAAATGCCATTCATCATTAAACATATTAGGGCTGTACAGGATATTGTGGAAATGGTCTTGGATTTGCAGTTGGAATCGCATTTGCAAATAGTATGCTTGCTACCATGGCAACCGGAATACCTTCATAGCAAAAAGTGTCAATATGAGTAGGTGTCGATACTTTAGATCCAATATTTTTGAGGTTTGTACAGGGCTAGAACAGTGACAGGGCAAATGCTCGAAGTCGTTCATGGTGAAGCCCAAAAACCACAGAGCTAATGAAGAGACGATCAAGAAAAAATAGGGACTCAGATCTGTTTCCATCCATTATTGGTTAGATTTCCCCCGTTGCGTCACAAGTGTATTCCCTAGCCCAGCTGTGGTTGTGGTTAGCTTGAAAATAGTGGTATGCCCGCATTTTCTGCAGAACTGATTGTCTGAGGTTAGTTCCTTTCTTCTATCTCCGTGCACGGGAACCCAGATTACATTAGTTGTGCAATGCGCAGCTACCTTCGAAGAGGTATTGTAATACTATATAACAGGGTGGGCAAGGCCGAGGCCGAAAAGAGCCACATGTAAATTCTAAATGCTACAAAGAGCCACAAAAAAAAACAAAACAAATATTTAAATTTTAAATAAAATTACTATTAGAAATTAATTATTAGGTTAAATATTCGTTTAAAATTTCCAGTAAAAAATGTCCAACAGCAAAATTTCGGCATAATGGCATCTGTTCTATCACAAGCAAAAAATATCCAATATAATACGCTCACAGAAAATTTGCAGAAACTTGCAAGTTAGACGAACAGCTGATAGAAATTGTGTTTGCATTCAAAAGTATAGAATTGAAAACGTAAGAAAACAAGTCCCGAAGTCTTATCCTGACATAGTTCACTAACTAAACGAATAATTACTTACTTCTTACAAGTTTAATTAGTCGCACTTTACTATTTTAACTTCCAAACCATAAAATTCAATTTAGGGATTTGCGTAAATTCCAACCACCTGTTTTTGATCAGCTGTATTTTTGTTGGCAAGTTGCTGTTGGAAAAAATTGTTCCAGCAGAAACTAGCACCTTGATCACAATAATAGGGTCCCATCAGTCGGTTCGTGAAGGGCTTCAATCTTTTACACACCATCGTCGACAGGACCTTGTAAGCAATATTAAGAAGGCTTATTCTCTTATTGTGCATTGATCAAAGGATACTGAGATTCCAGTCTTCAGGCATGTATTTATCAGACCAACTTCTGCTTAGTAGCTGGTACATACGCCCGACCAGCTCTTCGCCACCGGCTTTGAACAGCACAGCCGATATACCGTCGGCTCCGTGGGCCTTGTTGTTTTTAAGCCGACTTATTCCTGTTCCCACCTCGTCTCAACATCTCAAGTGTACTCTGGACAATTCTACAAGAACCAGAGCCGGTCTTGAAACGATTTGATTGCTGCCTTATTTTCTGATTCTGAATTTTATGAGCCCTATTCCTGTCTGTCAGCATCTCAAGCTCTTCGCATTCACGGCTTTCTTCGCCTTGTTTCTTTCTTTTGAGTAGACGTCGCTCGCGTAGTTATTGGCTGCAGGATGGCTTTGTATGCTGCGTATTTCTCTGCAGCAGCCGCACGGCACTCTCCGTCTTACCAGCTGTTCCTGCGTGGAGGTAGTATCCAGCCCTCCCTTCCGCACCTTGACTGGCAATGTTGGCTCCTCGCGGATAGAAAGTACTCGAAGCGTATCTTTCGTCTATCGCAACATGATCTATTTGGTTCTTCGTTCTTTGATCAGGGTATACCAAAAACGTTTTGGGATCGATCTGCTTCTCTCCGTTCACGGAGGTATTGTCATGGAGGCTGAATTTTCCGACTGCAAGACCAAAAATGCCTTCCCTGCCCACCCTGGCGTTGAAGTCGACCAGCGCGATTTTAACATAGTGGCGGGGGCAGCGCTCATATGCTTCCTTTAAGCGCATTAATTTCATCGTCATCATAGAGGGTCCGGACATTCCAAGTGCATATCCGTAATACTAACACCAGAGCGTTTCTTACAGGAAAAAAGGCCTCTTGAGTTTTTAAAAAAGTTTTTTATTTTGTTTTTATACATTTCATGAGTGTGTATTTTTATTTTTGTTACGTATTTACATTTGTATGTATTTACATTAACACTTTTTCCTTTTTTCTTTGCCGTTCATTGAAAATATTTTACATTAATTTGTAGACATTTTATTAAAAAAAAAATACATGAAACTATCGTAGGTACAGCACAATTAGTTGGAGAACATTGTAGGCCCTTGGCTAACCACAAGGCTTTCACAAACACTTATGCAAACATAAACAAATTAATAATGTATGTAAAATGTATGGTGTTGGTTTCCATTGCTTCATAAATGATTATAATTAAATTTACCATTAAAAAAAAAACAAAGTTAAAATACAAGTACATTAAAAACATTATAATATAATACAAAAGAGCGCTCATGAGTGATACAAGTGAGACGAGATGAGAGAACTTGAGCGCCTTTTTTAGGAGAATAAGTGAGAGTATAAGAAGCAAGCTATTCATAAATGTCACGAAAAAGGCTTCACAAATAAAGGAATTTCAAATAAGAAATATGAGTAAACTGAAAGAAAGGAATTAAGTATTAGCTTAAGATAGCTTGATTATTAAGTAGGCATAAGTATCAGAAGACAGACTGTTAAAGTAAATTAAATGCAAATGACAAGATTCTAGACAAGTTATGTGACGACTATCGAGAGCGAGCTGGAGACAATAAAAAAGAAAGAATATTGAATGTTTGATGATAAATGAAAGCATCCAACTTTTTTTGTTTTACTTTTAATGCACAGTTACCGGCTCATTTATACGCAACGGATTGTAACGCATGGGGTTGTAATTCATGTGAGTGGAGAGCAATGTTAAGCACAAAGAAACTAGAGAGCGAAATTATTCACATGTAAAATTCTTGTCGGAACTTTGAAAGATGGCACAAATAAATTTCACTTTTTTCTTCCCTTAATGTTGCATACTTATTAACCCGATGCCAAATCATCTGACAAATTACACAAATTCCTTTGAATAAATGGGATTTTATACAGGCATCTTTAAACTTTTTAAAACCCTATCAGTAGCTCGTTTCTGTAACTCATCTCTACCGATAACTCAATTCGCCTTGGTAGAGAATTGTTATAGAAACGAGCTGCCGAGCTGTAGAAGCTAATTAGCAAACATTTCCTAATTTAAGAAAGTATAATAGCCGATTTCACCTGCAGTTTAAATGGAAAATGATTTCTTTTTTCTCTTCTGTCAATTTTTCACTTAAGTTGCTTTCGTGAAAGTAAGTCTTGAAAGTAAATATCTAGAAAGTCTTAGAGAATGTAGTAACATAAATATTTTACAAAAGTGTAGAAAAAGATATAAAAAGCATTTCTGAGTATTTATGAACGTTTAGCTTTAGGATATGGGATGTGTTACTAGATCCTAAATTCATTCAAGATAGTGACAGTTATGTGAACAATTTCACTCTCTAGTTTGAAAGCCGAAACCAAGCTTAAAAATAAACCTCACTGTTTGAAAATATGAAAAAAATGTTTGGATTAGAAGAAGATATAACTCATTAGATAGGCATTGAAAGTTTGTAAAAGAGAGTTGACGATTAAAAAGTCTGTGTTAGAACAAAAGTATAGTTAAGAGAAAGAAAGTCCCTACATTACATAATATGAACGATGATCTCCATTTTCGTCTACTATTACTATAACTACTACTCCTTCTTCTTCTTCTACAATATTTGTTTAATAAAATAAAACATATATACGATAAACTTGTTAAACTACGAAGAGTGAGTGAGTGAGTGAGAGAGAGAATGTAATATCATTTCATTTCATTTGTTTGTTCTATTCCTGCCTTTTCAACATTTTAATCGCTTTCATCGCCTTTTGAATAAACCCTTGTTTAAACATTAATTATCGATTAGTTGCATTTAAAATCGCTTAACATATTATTCGATAAATGCAAGTACCCGTTTGCATTGCGAGTACAATGATTGAGTGAGTTAATGAGTATGTGAGTGGGTGTGCAAATATTGTAAGTGGCTGGGTGGCGAGTGGTGAAGAGGTGGCTGTCCTGTTTGTAAGATCGTTTGGTCAACCCCTCGACGTTATAAATCACGTACAGCTTTCCAATCGATTTCAAAATCCATTCAATTCTAAAACGATCTTATTTTCAGGTTCCAAATCCAATTCTTCCAAACGCCATTCGGCCAAACGGTTAGCCCATTTAATAGTGATGCAGAAGCGGAGCAGGCGCATGTGCCAGTAGAGGAGCGTGTGCCAACACCGGGGCATGAGCGATTACTTTGGGTGCCGTTTTGTGTACGACAGCGTTGAATCCGTTGTGATCATCAGCAGTGTAATCAACAGTGCGCACTGAACCATCGGGTTCGACGAGCGAGTATTGGCCCTTTACTACATCGCCGTCACGTTCTTCGGCTTGCGATTTAATGTCACCAGTGTGCGGATCTTTAATGCCATAGTTGAAAGAGTATTTCGGGTATGCCTAAATGAAGGAAAAGAATTTAAGTATGCAAAATAGACCTATTTTTTGTATTTAATAAACATTAAACAAACCACAGGCTCGGCATGCACAGCGTGGGCTAAAACTGGGGCATGGGCTAACAGCGGCCCTGGATAATGTCCATACTCTATGGGTACAGCTTGGGCGGCAGCAATAAGGAGGACAATAGCAATCAAGTACTGTGTACAAAAAAAGAAACAAATTTTACATCTTTACTATTTATTGAGTAACATTTCTTATATGTATGTATAGATAAGGTAGTATGTCGTTAGTTGTACATATTGATTGATTTATGTGCATTGGTACCAAAGGAATGAGTGGTAACTATTTTCCTTTGAGAATTTACACAAATTGCTTGGTAAGCTGTTGACAGCTAAGATTATTATATCTACACTCGTATATGTACATACTACTCAACTAGCTAGAAATTCACTACAAGTTCACTATTTTCCAACTATGTAGTTGTGACTAAATCTCGACTACTTGACATGACTAACATTATTTTACAAATCGTTCATCTTTTTTGACTTCATGATTTAGATCCGGCTAAAACTATTTTTATTCTGCGTACAGGAGTCCAGGCCTGTGGGGAAAGTTGTTGATCTTTGCTTCTAGTTAAAGCAGCTCACGATTTGCGATGTTTACACGAAGTATCCTCTGGGTAGCAACCGTACTTACCATCCACTTGGAAAAATCTACCAAAACTGTGAAATATCTACCAATAACTTTTTAATTGGTTATTGTAATAAAAACTATAGTTTTGTTATTTTTTTCGTTATTTCAATAAGAATTGAAATTGTGTTTAAGGAACTTTTTATTTTACTAATTATACGCTATTTGCGATCATATTAACGGTATCTTCTCAGTTTGATTCAACCAAAAGCGAAAGTGATGAAACTAAAGGCAACAACGAAACTTCATCGTTTGAAAAAACTTCAACTGGAGTTATTATATAGTCTGTTCCTTTGAACTTCGGACTAAAACCTGTAGAACTGTCAAACTAAAGTTTTACTTTCTCAAGTGAGAGTAAAAGGCGAACAGATGCAGAAGTGCACGGGAACGCAAAAAGCACTATTTCCTGTAAAAACGTCAGTCTGTTTTTTTAAATAATAAATAAAATCTATACATATTCAAATATTTCGTTGTTTACTTCGATTTTTTTTACAATTATAAGGTTCTTTGCTTTCACCGCTTTCTGTTTTTGTTTTCACATGCAAATCAGCTGATCGTTTGACGCATTTCATGAACTTACAGGAAAAAAACTCCGGACTAAATCCTGTAACTTCTGACTAGGAATAGTTGCTCAGTTACTCTCTCAAAGGTGTTCCCATTTACAGGTTTTATGTCAATAGGAACGACTTCCTGTAAGTTCTGATTAAATCCTGTAAACCGGACTGCTCTTGGAACAGACTAATAGATAAATACAGTGACTCAAAAAACCGCTTGGTAATTAATTTATATTCACCTTTTTCCAAGCAAACATTTTTTGGTATTTTATAAGAATATTATATATATATGTATATATATTATAAGAATAGTGCTTGGCACTTAAAAATCAAGGATTCAAGCTAAATACAACATTTGGAAAAATTCAAAAAATTGTATTCTAAATTTCGAACATTTCACTCTGATTTTTTTTAACAATTTAAGGTATGGAATTTTATAGCCCATAATATTTGAGCATAACCAACAATGTGCGCCTAAAAATTCCCGTTGGTATTTTTGAATTTTTTTATCGCCAGTATTTTGTGTTTTTTTTATTTTTATTTAACAATTGCCGTAACTGTTTAGCTCATTATACATATACCACCATGCGACAGTAAATTTTACAGACAAAAATCAATATGTTTACTCCGACGTCAGTAATTCAAAAATGATTTAAAAATGCAGTGAAATGTGCTTAGAGAAGAAGTATAGGTATCTAATTAAAGAGGAAATTCTGTAGAATTTAAGCAGATTCAATGCTTTAGTGCGTAAGGACTGGTAAGTATTGAAAAGGTCTTTCTAAAATTGTATCCTTGAAATTTCGCAATATTTGTTTTTGAAAAAATTATTTGTTAAGGACTTATATAAACTCGCTAACAACCCCGAATTTCGTCCTTTTAACTTTATCAGCTTAAAAAATTACCTATTCGTCCTTGTGAATCCAAAAAAAAATTTTATTTTTATTAATTTTTTTTTTTAAATTCCAAAGAAATTTCCTCTTTCATTTGGTACCCATATTTTTATTCTACAATGCATTGAATTTTTTAAATAATTTTTGGAATTAATCATATCTTCCAAATTACGAAGTCCTTTAAAATAAATCCTGACATCAGAGAGAAAAATTAAAACGCTACTTTAAAAAAGTAGGTTTAAAACTCATTTATTTATTATTTAGAAGAAATTTTTTCGATTTAAATTGTGGAAAAGTAATGAATATCTAAATCCCGAGACTAATCCCGGGATTCCGGAATTGTGATGACATCCCCAAAATTCCGGGATCACAAAGAGCGAAAAAAGTAACATCCCTAGTAATTACGTAGCTGTCCATTTTTTTCTTGTTATTTAAGAAATCATTTAACATAGTTAGGCAATCAAAAGCTCCTCGGAAATCCAGTAAAAAGAGTTTTGAGTGGAGCCTTTTATCGATATATATTTATACGTAAAGTTGTCCACAAAATAATAGGAGTGCGATATTTGACCAGTTTTGGCTATTTGTCTTTTGTTTATTTAACGTTTATTATTTTTTTATAAAAGCCTAGCTGGCTATACAACAAACACCATATAAATTCAGATTTTAAACTTTCTATAAAAATTATAAAAATTTTGCAATTTTTCACCCAAATTCAAACTTTTTAATCAGATTCTTTACAAAAAATTCTGGTATGCAGTTTTGTAGCACATTCAATTCTAGTCTGCAGTCAGTGCAGCAGTGATAATTTAGAAAGTTCTTTCATTATGATTTAACCTACATATATATGTACATAGTATGTATTACAACATCCGACGGCGGCTCTTGGAGTATTCGAGAGAAAGATTTTGAGAAATATTTACGGGCATTTACGCGTTGGCGACGGCGAGTACCCCAGACGATGGAGCGATGACCTATATGAGCTTTACAATGGGAGGGACTTTGAAAAATTGTGACAGAATCCACATGATACGATTTCGATTCGATTTATTTTATGTACAATTGATTCGGATTTTGAGACTTCAAAAGTGTTTGCGTTCGAATTTTTCAAGAAAAAGTCATCAAGTCATTATGCCAAACAATTTTAATACCTACTGGTCCTTATATACCAAAAAAATTCATATGCTTTAATCCTGCAAATTTTCTCTTTAATTTGATACCCACAATGTTTTTGCACATTGCCCTGAATTTTTTAAACAATTTTTGAAATAATCATATTTTTGAAATTTCAAAGTGCTTTAAAAAAAACCTGACATCAGAGGGAAAAACTAAAAGCGCAGTTTCACCATATTTGCCCCGTGGTTTCGCAAATATATTTTTGTGTGTAAGATTTACTGTCACACTGTGTACCCAAAAATCAACGCAATTTTCTAACAACTATAAATTTCCACATTGTTATACTAAAATTTAATCATTTATTTTAATATTGTAAATCCGAAAGTAAGTTTGTTTGTTTATTACGCTTTCACGCCTTAACTACTCAACCGATCATCATCAAATCGTATGCATTGGTGTCATTTAGCCCAGCTTAAAATATACGATAAATTTAACCCCGAATAGAAGAGGGGGCGTGACACCTCCCATACACACGGAATTTTTCATACTGCGTATCTCAGGAGATATTTGTGATAGAGTACTGGAACTCGTAATAGTAGTTTGAAAATAATAAGAAAGGTGTTGCCACCTGTTTGAAAAATCAATTTTTAATTAATTATTCGCAAGCTATCTGAAAAATTAAAATATGGATTTCAAACGAAAGATTGTTAGGAAACCCTCTGATTAAACCTCTAGAGTATTATGGAGGAGTTTTACAAAGGTTGCCACCCGTTTAAAAATTAAATTATATTAATTGTAATGAATTACTACCATGTGGGCATCAATCGAAATGTTTTTGAAAACCATATGTAGGAGGGTTGCCACCTGTTTGAAAATCACATGCCACTTGAATTAAGGGAATTGAGTAATTGAAATATGGATGCCAGACGAAAGGGATTTAGTAAGGTTTTAGTTGGAAATGAGTTATTACGATATAGGTATTAATGGATAAAGTCTTATGTATAGCAGGGTTTCCACGTATTTGAAAATTCAAATCCAACTTGAATTATAGCAATTAGGTTATTTGAATACATATGTATGTATGTATTACAATATGAGTGTCAGGCGTGAGAGGTTTAAAAATGTTGCCAAATGTATCAATCGAAGTAGTTTCGAAAAGGTTTCATTTCTAAACTACATGTAATGCTCGACTTCTTCCACTAGGCATTAAATGGCAAAAATGGTAAATGACAAAATTGGGCATTAAAAAATAATCGTGTCTTTATGATAAAAAAATACATTTTTTGTCATTTCAATGCCTAATGGAAATTCGGCATAAGTAAGAAAAAATATCTCAAGAGAGAGGTTCAAGAAAGTTTTAGTTTGGAAATATTTTAAAGGTGACTTAAAAATCTTAATTCTCCTGTTTTTGGCACAATTTAAGTATGTTGAGTTTTATTGAAATAAATTACACCTAATTAGGCTTGGGTAGTTCTTGAACTAAATGAACTAAAGAACTAGTTCATCACAATGAACTACTGCACTACACCATTTCCAGTTGTAAATGAGAAAGCGTCAAATGAAATTGCGAAAGCGTCATTTGGAAATGAGAATAGTCAATTGTAAATGCGATATCGTCATTTGAAATTGAGAATAGTCAATTGCAAATGATAAAAGGTCAATTGTAAATGAGAAAGCGTCATTTGTAATTGAGAGTAGTCAATTGTAAATTAGAAAGCGCCAAATGAAAATGCGAAATCGTATTTTGGAATTGAGAATAGTCAATTGTAAATGAGAAAGCGTCAATTGAAAATGAGAGTAGTAAATTGTAAATGAGAAAGCGTCAAATGAAAATGTGAAAGCGTCATTTGGAAATGAGAAACTCGTTTTTATTCAGAAATTATTTAGATGTTATTAAAAATGCAAGTTTATTATGTCCCAACTTGCATATCTTGTAAAGATAAAGCATTT